AGCCCTGGACAGTGAGTTTCACAGGAGAATTTTACAAAGCATTTAAGAAGAGCTAACCCCTATCTTTCACAGACTATTCTAAAAAGTCCTAGAAGCTGGAAAACTCCCAAACTTGTTTTATGAAGCCAGCATCACCCTAATCCCCAAACCAGATAAAGACACAACCAAGAAAGAAAACTTCAGGCCAATATCACTGATGAACATAGATGCTAAAATCCTCAACAAAATATTGGCAAACTGCATCCAGCACTACATTAAAAAGATCACACATGACGACCAAGTGGGATTCATCCCAATGATGCAAGGAATGTACAGTATTCACAAATCAATAAATGTAATACATCACATAATAAAAAGTGAAGACAAAAATCACATGAGCATATGAGTAGATGAGGAAAAAGCATTTGATAAGGTACAGCACCCATTTATGATAGAAACACTCAGCAAAGCGGGAATAGAGGGACCATTCCTCAACATAATAAAGAGCATATATGAGAGACATACAGGCATCATCATACACAATGGGCAAAAAGTAAAAACTTTCCCACTAAGATCAGGAAAAGACAAAATTGTCCACTTTCACCACTTCTATTCAACATGGTGTAGGAAGTTTTAGCCACAGCAATCAGACAAGAAAAGGAAATGAAAGGCATCCAAATTGGAAAAGAGGAAACAAAACTGTCATTGTTTGTAGATGGCATAATAGTGTACATGGAAAATCCTATAGACTACACCAAAATACAGCTTGACCTAATAAATGAATTGGGCAAAACACTGGATACAAAGTCAATATTCAGAAATCAAGGGCATTTCTGTATACCAGCAATGAAACATCAGAAACAGAAATCAGAGGAAAAAATATCATCTTATAGCAACAAGAAAAATAAAATACCTAGGAATAAACCCAATCAAGGAGGTAAAAGACCTGTATGCAGAAAAGTATACAACACTGAAGAAGGAAATTAAGGAAAACACAAACAAGTGGAAACATATACCGTGTTCATAGATCAGAAGAATTAACATCATCAAAATGTCCATACTACCCAAAGCAATTTATAGATTCAATGCAATACCTATTAAATTACCAATGGCATACTTCACAGATATAGAGCAAACACTTCAAAAATTTATATGGAATCATGAATGGCAGTGAATAGCTACAGAAATTTTGAGAAAGAAGAACAAAGTAAGAGGGATCACAGAACTTGATACCAAACTATATTACAAGGCCACTGTAATCAAAACAGCTTGGTACTGGTGTAAGAACAGACACATAGACTAATGGAACAGAACAGAGAGCCCAGAAATAAACCCAAGTCTCTATGGTCAATTAATATTTGACAAAGGGGGAAGAAGCATAAAATGGAGTACAAATAGCCTCTTCAACAAATGGTGTTGGGATATCTGGACAGCTACAAGCAAAAAAAAATGAAACTTGCCCACCAACTTACACCATACACTGAAATAATATTAAGATGGATAAAAGACTTAAATATAAGTTGTGACAGCACAAAAGTCCTTCTGGAGAACATAGGCAGGAAAATCTCAGATATTCCATGCAGCAATATTTTCACTGATATGTCTTCTAAATCAAGGAACATGACAGAAAGAATAAATAAGTGGGATCTCATCAAAATAAAAAGCTTCTTCGCAGCTAAAGAAAAGAACATTAAAGTGAAAAAAGAACAACTGTGTGGGAAAACATATTTGCCAATGATACCTCAGGCAAGGGTTTGATCTCCAAAATATATAAAGAATGCACACAACTCCATTCTAGGAAAACAAACAAAAAAAAAACAATTAAAAAATGGGCAAAGGACTTGAACAGACACTAGACCAAGGAGGACATACAAAAGTTCCACAGACATATGAAAAGATGTTCGTCATCACTAGCCATCAGAGAGATGCTTATTAAAAGCACAATGATATACCATTTCACACCAGTCAGAATGGCCATCATAAACAAAGCAACAAACAGTAAATGTTGGAGAGGATGTGGAGATAAGGGGACTTTAGTGATTGGGATTGCAGACTGGTGCAGCCATTGTGGAAAACAATATGAAATTCCCTCAGAAAATTAAATATGGAGTTTCCTTTTTACCACCAATTCCACAGATAGGTTATGTCCTGAGAACTTTGAAACACCAATCCAAAAGAACCTATGTACCCCAATGTTCATAGCAGCACAATTTACAATAGCCAAGTGTTGGAAGCAACCTAAGTGCCCATCAGTAAATGAATGGATCAAACAACTATGGTACATTTACACAATGGAATAGTACACAGCAGAAAGAAAGAAGGAGCTCCTACATTTTGCAATAGCATGGATGGAACTGGAGAGCATTATGTTAAGTGAAAGAAGCCAGACTGTGAAAGACAGATACCATATGATCTCACCTTTAACATAAACCTAAGCAATAAAACAAAGAAGGAAACAAATTTTTACCAGAGACATTGAAATTAAGAACAAATGAACAGTAACCAGAAGGTAGATGGGAAGGGATAATGGGGGGAAATGGTGAAGGGTTTTCAGGAACAACTGTAAGGGAAACATAGACAAAACCAAGGGGAAATGGAATCAGGGCAGGGAGATGGGGACGGCTGGGGTTGTGGGGGGAGATGGAGGGAAAAGGCAGACAATTGTACCTGAATGACAATAAAATTTAAAAAATGGAAAAAAATACCTAGGGCTCTGGCCATGTGGTTCAGTGGGTTGAAGTATCATTCCAAGCACTGAAAGGTTGCCAGTTCAATTCGTGGTCAGGACACACATGCCTAGTTTGTGGGTTCAATCCCTGGTTGGGGTACATATGAGAAGCAACAGATCAATGCTACTTTCTCACATCTCTCTCTCTCTCTTTTTTCTCTCCCTTCCTCTTTCTTTCAAAATCAATGGAAACATGTCTGAGTGAGGTTTAAAAAATACATAGAAATAAATTTTACCCAATAGGTAAAAGACCTATACTCTGAATATTATAAGACATTGAAGTAATAAGTTGAAGAAGATACAAATAAATGGAAGAGTATATCATGCTCATGGTTAGGAAGAATTAATATTGTTAAAATGTCCATACTCCCCAAGACATGAATATTTATTTATATATATTCATTCAATGCCATACCTATGAAAATACCATGGCACATTTCACAGAGCTAGAACAAATAATCCTAAAATTTAAGAACTAAAAATGACCCAGAAAGCACAAAGTTGGAGGTATCATGCTACCTGATATCAAACTTTACTATGAGGCTATAGTCATCAAAACATCATGATACAGGCATGAAAACAGACACATAGATCAGTGAAACATAACAAAGAGCCCAGAAATAAACCCACATCTATATAGTCAATTAATATATGGTCAAAGATACAATAGAGTTTATTCAATAAATGGTATTGGGAAAATTGGACAGATACATAAAAATTAAACTAGACTCCTCTTTGTACAATACCAAGAATAAACTCAAAATGGATTAATGACTTAAATGTAAGACATGAGACCATAAAACTCCTGAAAGAAAACATAGGTAGTAAACTCTCCAATCTTGCTCTTAGTAATATTTTTTGCGGATATGTCTCCTTGAGCAAGGAAATAAAAGAAAAAAATAAGTAAATGAGACTACATCAAACTAAAGAGTTTTTGCACAGAAAAGGAAGCCATTAATCAAACAAAAGGACAGCCTATTGAATAGGACAAGGTATTTGCCAATGATACATCTGATAAGGGATTAATATCCAAAATTTATTAAGTTATACAACTTAAACCTCCTGAAGCAAACAATCTAATTAAGAAATGGTCAGAGGTCCTGAACAGACATTTTTCCAAAGAGAAAAAAAAAGAAGATGGCCAATAGACATAATAAAAGATGCTCAAGTTCACTAATATCAGCAAAATGCAAATTAAAATCATAATTAGATATAACTTCATGCCTGTCAGGATGGCTATCATCAATTAATCAGCAAACAACAAGTATTAACAAGGATACAGAGAAAAGAGAATCCTCATGCATTGTTGGTGGGATTGCAAATTGGTGTAGCCATTATGGAAAACAGTATGATGTTTCCTCAAAAAGTGAAAAATAGTAGTAGCATATGACACAGCAATTCCACTTCTGGGTATTTATCCAAAGAAATGCAAAACACTAATTAGAAAAGGCATGTATACTCCTACATTTAATTCAGCATTATTTACAATAGTCAAGATATGGAAGCCATCTAAACTGCCCATAAATAGAAGTGGAGCATATATACAATGGACTGGCCATAATAAAGAATGTAATGTTAACATTTACAAGAAAACAGATGGCTCCGTAGGGTGTTCTGCTAAGTGCTGTAAGTCAGACAGAGAAAGGCAAGTACCATATGATTTCACTTACATGTAGATTCTAAAGAACAAAAATGAACAAAAACATACCAACTAAAACATGCAGAGGACAAATTGAGGGTTGCTAGATTAGAAGGCTTTGGAGGAGCTGGGTCAAAAATGTGAAGGGATTAAGTACAAATTGGTAGTTACAAAATAGTCATGAGGGTGAAAAGTACAGCACAGGGATTATAGTCAATATTGTAATAATTATATATGGTTCCAGGTGGGTATTAGACTTATTGGGGGATCACTTCATAAATTATATAAATGTCTAACCATTATGTTGTATATTTTAAACTAATATAAAAGAATATTAAATGTCTAATTAAAAATAAAAAATATTTATTATTCAGTCCTACAATCAGGCCTTCCCTCTCTGTTGTCTCCTCATATTCACATTATAAAGTAGATCTCATTTTATTCTTATGGTATCCTTTGGAGGTAGTAGTTCCATTTTGTGGATGTGGTAACTCAAGTTCAAAGGTTTGGTGAGTTGCTCAAGATCACTGAACACTAAAATTCATGCTTTTGCCAGTCCTCATGCTGTTCTCAGGCTTATTTTTTTGTACTGGGTTAGTTAAGGGAAGTCAAATCAACACCAAAGGTATAAAACATTTTTAAATGGATCAATACCTGCTCCATGGAATCCTCCACACACATACAGCTTCCCATCCACTGCTCCTGCATTGGTAGAATTGGTTCGAAGAGAGAGCAGGGAACTTGGCATAGGTGGGCCCTCTCTCCAGAAGTCTCCATCAGGGTTATAGATCTCTACCACATCCAGGCACTTTCTAATCTGGCCCTTGTCTCGACCTATGCAGCCAATTCCACCTACAGAGAATGATAAGAACAGACACTTCATTGTAGATAGCCCCTTTACTGCTATGGTTTTTATCAGATGTTTCTAGGCCTTCTGACCTTTCTCTTTGTTGCCGGGTGCTACTTCTAAGCAATAGTGATGTCTACTAGATACTTCATAATCTAATTTAATGTCACTTCAACTCACAGTGTTCCATCTGCTTGTTCTTATGCGTGATGCTGATTCCACTGCAGGCTTTATATTCTATATAATATCCAACACTGGTTGACACAATGAGTACTCCCTTTAGAATAAGCACTCCAGCTTTGAATATGAGAGTAACTTGACTCTGACATCTGCCTTCCTGTTGATAATTCACAATGATTTCACTGATCTTGCTAGCTAGAGATGTGTTCTCTCCATTCCTCATCATTGAAAGCCTGTCTTTTTCTCTCTTCTTGTTTTGCATAAATTTTCCCCATTAGGGAAGGACAGTTCTTTGGTAAATTTAAGGTTTGAGGGTCAAAGGAAGGCCCTCAAATCTAAATGTCTAGTGCATCTTCCATGTTTGGATGATACAGTTAATTCAATAAATAGTCATTGATTACCTAATATATGCAAGGCAATGTGCTAAGTGATAAAGGGAATTTAGAAAGATGGATAAGGCATATTTCTAGCCATTAAGAAGTTAAGGGGTAGCCCTGGCTGGTGTAGCTCAGTGGATTGAGCGCGGGCCTGCGAACCAGAGTATCGAGGTTCGATTCCCAGTCAGGGCACATGCCTGGGTTGCAGGCCAGTTCCCAGCAGGGGACTCACGAGAGGCAACCACACATTGATGTTTCTCTCCCACTCTTTCTCCTTCCCTTCCCCTCTCTCGAAAAATAAAAAATTAAATGAAATTAAAAAAGAAGTTAAGGGGTAGATTAGATTGGGAAGATGGCGATGGAGTAGATTCCACTCCCCCCTACACATGGGAGAAAAACCTGGCCAAACTACAGAGGAACAGAGCAAACAGCCAACAGTACCCCAGCATATTTGAAAATAAGAGAACAAAAATTATAACAGACACTGAAAAACTAGATGGTAAGAAGATGGCTGCAGGACAATAAGGTCCCAGAGACCAGGGCAGGGACAGGGGCAGCAGTGGCAGCCTCAGCTCTGTGCCTGGTGCTGGGTCTACCACAGACTCCTTGGGAGTGGCAGGCCTGCCACAGAGTCCTTGGGAGAGAGCTGGGTCAACTGCTCCCTCCCCCCCAGGCAAGCATGGTTTGAGCAGAACTAGGAGAGACCTGGTTGCTTGAAGTTGCAGAGAGGGAAATAAGGACAAAGAGGCAAACACACAAGGGCTGTGATCACCCTCAGAATCTGTGGTCACTGGCTTGGGAGAGTTGAGAGTCTTGCAGTGTGAAATTCTGACCCCAGTAGTCAACGGTCTGGCTGGAGAATTGGGCTGTACTGAACGGCAGGCTTGAGTAGGAGAAATTTCTCAAAAAGTAAAACTGTTTGAGGGATTTTCCTGTGAGAGCCGCTCTGCCTACTCCCCCCCCACACACACACACAGCTAGGCAAAAGGCCCTGCATTTTCCCATACCACTGGGAAGGGTTCGCACACAAACCCAGAGACCAAGGCAGCCTGGCCTGGCACCTGCCCCTGCACCATAGCCCATGGCAATGACCCCTGGGGAAAAAGTGCTATGAAGAGGAGCTGAATCCCTGGTTTGGGCTGCTAGAGAGAGGTACCAGACTAGCTCTTGGGAAAGTGCTTGCAAGACTGGCTGAGTACACATTGGGAAGGAAGAAAGGCCACACCAATTGCCCCTCAGCCTGTTGCAGCCAGCAAGACCAGAAAAACTGGTTTGGCCAGTTTGAAACCAAAGAGAGGATTGTTTTTGTTTTGTTTTTAAGTAATCTTTTATTTTTAAAACTTTATTATTGTTTTATCTTTCAATACCTTTTCCCTCTCTTTCCTTCTTTTCTTGTTTTATTCCTTCTTCCTTTCTTTCCAATCTTATCTCTTCTTCCTCCCTTCTCCTGCCGTTTTTTTAACCCACAAGTGAGACAAAAAACTTGGAACTGTGAAAGGACCAAAGAGAGGGAATCCCAACAGCAGAGACAGAGAGACAAATCTCACTTCGCTATTGCAGAGAAACAACAAGTTACTGCATATTTGTACTACTGTTATGTGTCATTATACTTACAGCTATTATTTTAATGTATTTTTGTATTCCTCTTCTTTCTGTATAGTCTTTGCTTGGCTGGTTGTATTGTATCATTTGACAGGTTTCCCCTGTTCTCTCTTCCACAGTGTATTGCTAATTTACTGTCCTTCACATCACTTGTGTTCCTTTAGCAAACTACTCAAAGTTCTATACCCCCATTCTTGTTATCCAGATCACATAGACTCTGTCATATCATTGTTGCTCTAATATTATTGTAAATAATAGCTGTTCCATACAATTGTAAATACTTCACAACACCCCTCCCGGATCTTAGCCCACTTGACAGTTTCCTGAACTCTATTACTGTAGTGGTTAACTCTATTCTCTCACACACACCTATTTACTATTCTTTACTCTCACTTTATCTCAGAATCTGACCTCCAACAACCTCACTGCTTTCTAGATCCAACTCACGAGCCTTTCCTCCCCAACAAGAGTCTTATGTTCTTTCCATTTTTTCTTAGAAGTGGCTAGTTGGGCTGAAGATTACAGTTAACACTATACATAGCCAAAGGGTCTCCTGTATCTTCTCTACTGGATGGTACTTTAAATATCATAGAATACACTCCTGCTGTCATAAACCATTTTGCCTTCCCCTCCAACTGATCACAAAAAAGAGTAGATGGAAGTGGTGAACAGCAGGATACCCACTGGAAGAGGAAACCCAACAACAAAGGAACCACCAACAGATAAGAACAGAAGAAGATGAAGGAGGGAGTGGAAACCACACAAACCTCAATCCAAGACCTATCTGGAAATACAGCTAAATAGTGGAGGAACTACCCAGTACAAACAACTGAACAAAAGCAAAAGAGAATCATCAAAACCTTGTACACACAGAAGAACTAGATTCACCACAAACTGCCCTCACCAGTACAACAAATTAAAAAAGGGGGTGGATAGAGGAACCATCAGTTAACCAGCTGGTGGGAAGGACCCACTAAAGAAAGACCCAACAGCAATCAAAACCCAAAGACAAACACAGAGCCAACTTAAAGGACAGCCCAAGACCTGTGAGCTTGGGAGATCAAGGAGACTCCACCACTGACTCTCACAGGTATTATACCACAGAGGCTCACAGCAAAAACCCAGGGAGACAGAACAAATCAATTTAAGAAGCTGAAGCTGAGAAGAAGAGTCTCACAAAAAATGAAAATATGAAGAACCAATCCACAGATTAAAGGAAAGAAGGAAGTCTCAGGAAGAATGCTAGGTGAAATAGAGGCAAGTCAGCTATCAGATATTGAATTCAAAGCACTGGTTATCAAGAAGTTTAACAAGCTCACAATGAGCTACCAGAAACTACAGGGAACTACAACAAACTCACTGTAAACTATATCAACATGAAAAAGAAAATAAAAGAAAATCAACAAGGGCCAAGAGGAAATAAAGTATACAATTTCTGAATCGAAGAACACAGTGCAAGAAATCAACAGCAGGACTGATGAAGCAGAAGATCAGATCAGTGAGTTGGAGGACAAAGGAGAAAAAAACACCCAGAAAGAGCAAGAAAAGGAAAAGAGACTCAGAAAGGATGAAGAGGGATTAAGAGAAATGCGAGACAATATGAAACATAGTAATATTCGAATAATAGGGATACCAGAAGGTGAAGAACAAGAAAAATGAACAGAAAACCTATTGGAAAAAGTAATAATGGATAACTTCCCTAATCTGGTGAGAGAAAAAGTCACACAAATCCAGGAATCACAGAGAGTCCCAATCAAGAGGAACCCAAAGGGGCCCATTTCAAGACACACCATCATTGAAATGGCAAACTTCTGACAAAGAGAGAATTTTAAAGGCAGCATGGGAGAAACAGGAAGTAACATACAAGGGAGTCCCAATAAGGTTAGGAGCTGACTTCTCAATGGAAATGCTCCAAGCAAGAAGAGAATGGCAAGAAATATTCCAAGTAATGAGAACCAGAGGCCTGCAACCAAGGCTACTTTAACTAGAAAGGCTCTCAATCAAGATAGAAGGCCAAATACAGTCTCCAAGACAAAAGAAGTCCAAAAGAATACACCTCCACCAAACCAGCTCTTCAAGACATGCTAAAGGGACTGCTCTGAGAAAAGGAAGGAAAAGAGAGAGAGAGAGAGAGAGAGAGAGGGAGGAACACAAGTACAAAAATGGCAATGAATAAGTACCTATCAATACTAACCTTAAAAGTAAATAGATTAAATGCTCCAATCAAAAGACATAGAATAGCTGAATAGATAAGAAAGCATGACCCACACATATGCTGCCTACAAGAGACCCACCTCAGGACAGAAGACCTACACAGACTAAAAGTGAAGGGCTGGAAACAATTTTTCCAAGGAAACAGACAGGGAATAAAAGCTGGGGTAGCAATATCAGACAAAATAGACTTCAATAAAAGGGCCATAAAAAGAGACCCAGAGGGTCACTTCATAATACTCAATGGAAGAATCCACCAAGAAGACATAAACATTGTAAACATACATGCACCCAACATAGGAGCACCCAAATACATAAAGAAAATATTAGAGGATTTCAAGAAAGATAGTGACAGCAACACAATTATAGTAGGGGATTTTAACACCCCACTGTAAAAAATAGACAAATTTTCTAAACAAAATATCAACAAAGATATTGTGGCATTGAACAATGCCCTAGATGAAATGTACTTAACTGATATATATAGAGCCCTCCACCTCAAAGAAGCTAAATACACATTCTTTTCAAATGCACACAGCACATTTTCAAAGATAGAGCACATGATAGGACACAAAACAAGCCTCAACAAATTCAAGAAAATTGAAATCAGCCCTGGGTGGTGTAGCTCAGTGGAT